TTTATATTTTTTAGACAATATAAGTACAAAATAGAGTTTTTTTTAAAAAGTTTTATTTGTTTTTACTATTGTTCATTTTTACACAATCATTTATATACATTGTTTCATGCATGAACTTTTTATGTAATTTTTTTGTACATTAGGTTTTATATAATTGATCACTGTTAAATATAGTTTTGATTATTGTTGTCATGTGAACTTGAGTTGGAACTGACTCATAGCTGAATCTCTGGCATGTTTTCAGAGTAAGTAACTACACGGGATTAGATTGTATGTCTTACTCCCATGGAGCAGCTGGTGAATTCCAACCACCTGCCTTTGTATTAGTAGCACAACCCTTTACCACAAGGCCACAACAGTTCCCTATAGTTGTAATATGATGATAAAATAACTGTACATACAAAAATCTGGTACACTGTTAGCTCCTACTGTTGCTGTTGTATATCACTGAGTCAGAACAACTGATAACAAATCCACCAGCAGATAATCATAGGCAGTAAATCACATGTGATGGTATAATCTGTTTCTCTTCCATATATCATTTGATAGATTCTTACTGTGTCTTTGTTCTTGACAATGCAATTCCATACAATTAAGCCACCAGAGTTCCCTAGTTATTGCATATTAGTACAATAAAATACCACAAGTCAGTGTCTTTAAAGAACCAAAATGTATTTTTCTTATAATTTAGGAGGCTTGTTGTTGTTGTATTCGTGGATTTAGAACTAACCCATAGCTTACCATATAGTATGTTTTCAGAAGATTTAGCCCATTCTTTCACAAGGAAGGATTTAGCCCATCCTTCTCCTTGGAGTGCTGATGGATATGAAGTGTGTGCCTTTGGGATTGCCGCACAGGTTTTTACCACTGAACCAGGAATGAATTTATTTTATAAATGAATGGGAAGCTAAGAGTCTAAATTCAACTCAAGACTTGAGGGAGTGGCCTTTTCTTGTATGTTTTTTTGTTGTTCTTATGTGCTGTCTAGTCGCTTGCGACTCATAACAACCCTATATACAACAGCCCTAAACCCTGCTTTATCCTGTGCCAATCGCATTGCCTCTGACACACCCATCCCGATTACCCCAGTCACTGAATCAATCCACCTCATAGAGGGTCTTCCCCTCCTGCGCTGTCCCTCCACCCTCCCAAGCATGGCGTCCCTTTCCAAGGACCGATCTCTCCTTGGCAATACCTGCTTTGTCTTTTCGTCTCCCTTTATTGATTTGATTTGTTGTTGTTTTTTTTTATGTCTGCTGAGCTCTGTATGTCTTTTGCTCTTTATTAACCTTCTCCTCAGTTACTATCCTGTTATCCAACATTTCTCATTTACCACAAAAATAAAATGTCTACTTTCTATAAAGAGTTTGTTCATTATCATGTTCATTATTTGTGTATCTAGCCATAATGAATGTGAAAGTGTGAGGCAAGAGTCTTTGAACTTCTGCAGCAAGTGCTTCAAGTCCTCATTTTCAGCAAGCAAGGTTGTGTCATTTGCATAACATAGGTGTTGAGCAATCTTACTTCAATCCTGATGTCACGTTCTTCTTAATAGACTCTGTTGTTGTTACTGTTAACTGCTGTCAAGTCGTAGATGACTCATAGTGACCCTATCAACGAAAGATTTCTGATGCCAAACATTGTGACACTGACGTGTCAAATGTGATAATGGTTATCCATGGTGAACAGTGTTTGGGAGAGCTCCCCAATTAAAAAAAGCTTGGAAGCAGGAGTGGCATCCACTTTCAAAATAGCTTGCCTCCAGAAACCCTATGAACTTGGAGAAACAAAGTTAATAGGATCTAGCTTCTCAAATAATTTACTCAGTGTGACCTAGTGACAAGAAGCAGAACTTCAATCCCAAAGGCATACAGTTTAAGGCCACCAGCTGCTCCACAGAGAAGGATGGAGAATCTCCTTCCATGTGATTCACTGCCTCTGAAAACCCACTGGAGAGTCAGCGATGGGTCTGTTTCAATCTGATGGTACCAACAACAACAACAAGAACAACAATGATAGAATAGGTATGGAGAAAAGATTCAACCCTGACACACACCTCTCCTAATTTAAGCCATGTAATGTTCCTTTGCTCTTGGTGTAAGTATAGGTTTCACATGAGCACGATTAAGTGTTCTGAGATTCCCTCTCTTCTCAATGTTAGCCATAATTTGTTATAATCCACACAGTCAAATGCCTTTGCATAGTCAATGGTGCCCAAGTACCATTCTTCTGATATTTGCTTTCAGCCAGGATCCATCTGACACCAGTAATGATATCCCTGGTGCCACAGCCTCTTCTAAATTCAGCTTGAACATCTGGAAATTCTTTGTCTATGTACTGTTCTGTTTTTTAATGATCTTTAAGCAGTGCTTTGCTTGCATGTGATATCCCTGATACTGTTTAATAATTTCCACATTCTGTTGGATAACTTCTCAGAATGGTGAACAAATATAAATATCCTCCAATTAGTTGGCCAGGTAACTTCCTTCAAATTTCCTGGCATAAGATGGTCAGTATGTCCAAGACTGTATCTGTCATTTGAAATATGTCACTTGGCATCCCATCAGTTCCTGCCACCTTATTTTTTGCCAATCCATTCAGTACAGCTTGAACTTTTCCATTCATTACCATTGGTTCTTGCTCATACGGTACTTCCTAAAATATTTTACTGTCGGTCACTTCTTTTTGGTTTGGTGATTCTGTGTATAATCTCCATTTTCTTTTTATATTTCTTTGATCAACCAATATTTTGCCCATAGTATCTCTAACTATTACAACTCTAGGCTTGAATCTGTTGTTGAGAAATGCTGAGTGCGTTCTTCTCTTTCTATTTTACAATTCTGGGTCTCTGCATATTCCATTATAGAAGTTTGTTCCCCCCCTCCCCCCGCCCCAGCTGCCTTTTGAAATCTTTTGTTCAGTTCTTTTCTTTCAGTATAGATTCCCTTTGTTTTGGCTTCTGGATACTCTAGTACAATTTTAGGGTCTATTCTGATATCCATTTGATTTTTTCATTCTCCAGTAACTTTTTTGTGACCCTTTGCTCTCTCATACTGATATCCTTGATGTCATCCCTGAACTCATGCAGTCTTTGATCATTGTTGTTCATTGCTTCACACCTATCTTAAGATGATTTTTAAATTCAGATAGGGTAGACTCAAGATCATATTTTGGTTCCAGTGGACATGGATAAAAATAAATAATACCTTCTGTGTGAAAGTCACAGAGAGGAAGATCTTTAACAAAATACTTTGGCATTGAGACTATACCAAGGAGCAAGAGAATATCAGAGATAATCAGGATGGAGTAGGATAGGGCAAGTTTCAGATCTTAAATGTTTCTTATCATAAAGTCACTAGGGATCATAATTGACTTCATGGCAGCTAATAAACAAAAAGAAGCCAATGTAATTTCTATGCTAATTTCGTATGTCTACAAAGGTATTTTATAAAGTAAAATTAATAGCAACCATCCCTTTGAGAAAAACAAGTTGTATATTTGTGCAAGTAATATGTCATTATTTGTGCTTCTCAGATTTGAAGAGTAGAGAAAAGAATTCCTCCCTCTGTATTTCTTTGTCTCTGTTCTCTTAAGGCATGTTATTGTTGTTGGGTGCTGTCAACTTGGAACCAACTCATAGTTGACTCTCCGGCAGATTTTCAGAGGCAGTTAATCACATAGAACAAAATTGTCCATCCTTCTCCTGTGGAGAAGCTGGTGGATTTGAAATGCATGCCAGCCTTTGGGATTTTTTAGCATAGCATCATACCACTAGGCCACCAAAGCTGCCTAACTATTGTTAAATGGCAGCGTAAACATGCAAAAGCACACAAATCCCATGATCTGTGTATTTAATAACTCTCTGTCCTTTAGAGATTTGTCTATACCATCCTAAAGTCAGTGTTTGATGAATGGAAAATCCCCAAATACTTAGAGTTGACTAAATTTATTAGAAAAAATGTCAGGTAGTTCCTGATTTATTAAGAAGTTTCTTTCCATCACCTCTATTATAAGTTGACTGCATTAAGTTGAGTATGTCATCTAGTTATTTATTTTTTCCTTTCTCATCATCATTATTATTAATAAAATGTGCCATGTAAAGTTTATTGAACAGTAAATGGTAATATTGAACATTAGCAAGTGAAGATTAGAGAGTCATAACGTAAGCAAGTGGAGTACTGTGACATTGTACTAGTACATACATATGCAAAAAGCCAAAGCATGAAAAAACTCACCTAAAATAACAAAACGGATGGCCATAAGTGTAGTTCCTCCTAACTTGTATTATTTATAAATCAAGAATTACTTGTAATTAAGTTAGTCAGTATTATTTATTTATAAATCAAGAATTACTTGTAATTAAGTTAGTCACATTAAAATATATATTATAGAGCAGATGCGTTGCAGTTGTGAACTAGAAGTATTTGTATTATCTAGATGAGAGAGCTCTGAAACGTTCTTTCCTAGACTTATTTTTAAAAGTATCAAAACTCTAAATGTAATTCTGAAGATAGTTTTACACTATTGGGGGCTAGACAGGATGCCTACCTTAAACCTGTCTTTACTTACTGATTTATTCTGGATCTTCAGGTTCTCCTCTGTCCTTTCTTTGTTCGCATATTATAGCATGATATCTTCATAATGAGAAGATGAGAAAGATCCATTATAGCAAGAGATATGTGCTATTAATGAGTTTCTAGCCAGCTATCAAGTTATTATCAAATGTGGTTTATCCTAGTGAATGAAAGTCTGAATGGAAAATTAAGCTCCCTTACTGACTGTAGAAGTGCAGCAGATCATTTTCTTCTTTAATGTCACACCTCACTGGGCACACTTCACAGAGCAGTGAATCATGCTTAAAACAAGCAGCCTTTACTTTAACTATAGCAGATAATGCGGCAGAGGTGAATAATAAGTGTTAGCAGTCTTAACTTTCTCTTGCAGTCTTCACTCCCAGGTGCCTGATGGACAATTTACAAAGTACATATGTTATTTTATAGATTGGAACTTGGGATCCAGCCAGTGGCCTGAACATGACAGAAAGTCAAAAGGGAAAGCCTGCCAACATCACAGATTCTTTATCTAATCGTTCTTTAATTGTTACCACAATTTTGGTAAGTATTCTTTTTGTTTATTCTTTTTTAATAAACATGGATATGTGTAGAAGCATATTTTTTTAAAAAATACATAGTAATTGCCAAAATAATAAACACAGGGTAATATATTTTACAGTTATTTAGCAATTACTGTATAACAGATGGATCAATGCTAATTTTGTCACAGTTTTATTTTATTAGTCTTCTGTGATGTAAATTAAATTAATATGTGGGTTGCTTATGCTGATTAATAATATAAATTCATATATTACTGGAAATCTTTACATTTCTACAAAATAATTTACTATGAAAAATTTCCAGTGTCAAGATTTGCAAAATACCTAGTCGTTCAACTCTTACTTTAAGAGTTAAATATGAAATTGTTTCTGCTTTTATTTCTAACAAATACATTTCAGAGATTATGACATTTATTTTAAAAACATTTCCACATTATAATTATGTTTTAACCTGGCTTTCAATTTGATTGCTTTCATCATGCAAAATCATTTTTACTTTACTAATCTCCCTAATGAGATCAAACAAAAAATAGGGGTCTTTTTAAGCCAGAAACATTTTCACCATCAATGGAATTAGATTAATACTGGTAAGCTAGATATTTTAACCCTGTTATAATTATCTATTTTATTTATATCATAACAATAACAGTCAGTTATACCTACTATGGCATATGCAGAAGGAAATTTAAGGATAAGCAGTGAACTCTTATATTTTCCAGTCTTACTTTTTCACCTATATAATAGAACAATGCCAGTTCTTATGTCTTCCTTAACAGTCTGTAGGAATGCGAGATTAAGATTCAGGACAATTAATCACATGTTTTTAGTATTTATATAAATTATAACTTTGATACATAGTGACTGCTACAGATCAAATTTTGTCCATAAAAACAATATATTACAAACCTTAACCTCAATGCCTATGGTTATAATCCCTTTTGGGGACAAGGTTGTTTTCCTTATGTTTACTGGGCAGTTAAGTATAATATATCTTGAGACATTCTTTTTTGACATATAAAAGAATTTAAGTGCAAACTAGCAAGGAGAGATGGGGTGTGGTGTTATGGGGTTATGTTAAAAATGGCTTCTCTATCCAATGTCTTTGACTTTGCTTTGTGAATAAGTAGGGGCATGTGAATAGAGTGTGTTTGCCCATCCTCAAGAGGGTAACTTGAAACACTGAGAAGATGCAGAGTCTGATTTTGAGCATCTCATTACCAGCAAAGAGGAATCAAGAGAATGCCATGCAACCACCAGTGCCAGAAATTCTTGTGTCAGCCACACCTAGCAGCAACTGAAGCAGAAAATCAGGGACCTGATATAAGAGAGAGTTGACCTTGAGACTGTTACCCCACAGAACCAAAATTAAGAGCCTTTGCCCAACTTGTTTTGGATAACTTTGAGGGCAAGACCTATTTGACAAGACTAAGAACTTTTTGGTGCTGGACTAAAGGCACGAGGCTCAAGGATGAGGTGAACACATTCCAGAAGCTGTCCTGATTGAGTGATTGTATTTGCTGCCAGCCTGAATTGTAGTCTTTTGAGTTCCCTAACATGGTTCTGTGTGGTCTATGAGTTATTACAAGTGATCTTGAACACAGTAGAGCAATAAGATTCTAGTCAGATGAATAAAAAGATGTGCAGGGCATACCTTTGACTTTGCCATGTGGATGGGCAGGAATAAGGAATTAGGGCATTTTAGCCTATCCACAAGAGAATTGTCTAGTCTTGTCATTAAATTAAGTGGATCTAGCAGCAGAATTTGAGAACCTCATCATCAGCAAAGAAGCAGATAAGTAGTGCATGCCCTTCAGAGCCAGAAATTCTTGTGCCAGCTACGTCAAAAGCAGTAGTAGCTATGGCCAAAGTGGAGAATCAGAGCTCTAATATGAGACAGAGAAGACCTTGGGACTGTTATCCCACTGAACCAGAGCTAAGAGTCTTTGCCTAATTTTTGTTGAAACACTGGGCAGGGAGAACCATAATTGGCAGGACTGAAAGCTTTGTAACACTGGCCTAAAATTATGAAGCTCAAGGTTGAGGTTCCTGCAGGCATATTTCAGAAGTTGTCTTGGCTGAGTGATTGTATCTTACTGACGACCTGATATGATTCATTCTGTGTGGTCTGTGAGATATTGTTGCGGATTTTTAGACCCAGTAAAGCAGTAAGATGGGTGTTAGGATGAGTACAAAGAGGTACAGAAGAATGAGAGATGTGTCTGATTCCATGTAAGTTGGTTCAGTGGTGCTGATGTTGTTAATGAGTAATTCCCCTTTCTGAAGTAAGTAAAGATCAGATATGGCTTTTCCCTTGCAGCTCTTGCTTTTTACAAAGTGCAAGCTATAATGAAGGCATTGAGAAAAATTAAGGCTCCAGGAATCAATGGATACCACTTCATATTTTTCATTTAACAGATGCAACCCTGCACATGCTTACCAGTCTGTTTTAGGAAAGTAAGAAGACAGCTGTCTGGCCAACAGGCCAAAGGAACATGGAAATTATTGAAAAATATGAGGCAATACCAATTGATATATTTTAACAAACAGATTTTGCTCTGAATGTGCTCACCAAGTTGTCACAAGAAATCTGGAGAACAATTACCTGCCTAACTTACTGAGGGGGGGGGGTGGTGGGGAAACACATTTATTCCCATTCCAAAAAATTGGTGACCCAACAGAGTGTGGAAATTATTGAACAATACCACTAATATCGCATGCAAGTAAAATCCTGCTGAAAACATAAACAAACAAGCCAACCCCCCCCCAAAAAAAACCACCAAAAAAACAGCCCTAAATGCCCAAATGACTGGAACAGTTCAGTGAGAAATACCAGAAATACAAGCTGAATTTAGAAGAGGTCATTTCACAAGTGCCATTATCTCCAGTGTCAGATAGATCTTGGCAGAAAACTGAGAGTACTAGAGGAATGTCTCTCTGTGTTTCATTGAGTACGCAAAGGCATTTGACTATGTGATTCACAACAAATTGTGGCTAACCTAGAGGAGAATGGGCATGCCAGAGCACTTGAATGTGCTCATGTGAAGCCTATACTTGGATTAGGAAGCCATCCTCAGAACAGAGCAAAGAAACACTGCATCGTTCAAAATTAGAAAAAGAGTACATCAGGGATATGTCCTTTCTCCAAACCTTTTGAATTTTATATGCAGAACTCATCATAATGGAGGCTGGGCTCTCTGTGTGGCATCAGGAGTGGAGGAAGACTTATCAACAACCTACATTGTACACATGGTACAACCTTGCTTGAGGAAACTGAGGAGGACCTGAATTACTTATTGTAGAAGGTCAAGGACTGTAGTCTTCATTATGGGTTGATATTCAACATCAAGAAGACAAAGATTCTCACCACTGGGCCAATTGGTGATAGATGGAGAAGAGACTGAGGTTGTTAGCAATTACAGCTTGCTGGACTCCAGTCAACACTCTTGGCACCAGCAGTCAGGAAATCAAAAGATTAATTTCACTGTGAAGACATCCTGTCAGGGACCTCTCCAGACTCCTGAGAAGCAAAGATGTCAGTCTAGAGATTAAGATATGCAAAGATCCAGGCCTTTGCAATTGTATTCAATTACTTGATACGCATAAGAGAGCTGGACAATGACTAAAGGTGAAAGAAGAATTGATGCCTTTGAGTTGTGGTACTGGAAAAGAGTCTTGAACATACAATGAACTACCAAGAAAACAAAGAGATCTATCTTGGATAGAATGAAACTAAATTTCTCCTTGGAGACTAGGATTTTGAAGCTCTGTCTCAGAGACTTTGGGTACATGGCCAGGAGAGACTGATCCTTGAAAAAGGACATTATGTTCGGAAGGGTGGAGGCACAGTGAAGGTGAAGAAGACCCTGGATGAGATGGATGATACAGTAACTAGGGCAATAGGGGAAGATGTTATTGGAGTCAGTGATACAGGCTTCAGACAGGGAAGGCATCAGAGTTGTTGTATATAGGGTCACTATGTGTTTCAGTTGACTGGAAAGCTCATAACAACAACATCATCATTAATATCATGTGCAAGCAAAATCCTGCTGAAGATGATAAAAAATGGCTAGAACAGTACATTAATAGAGAACAGTTAGAAATTCATACTGGGTTTAGAAGAGGCCATAGCACCAGGAATATCATTGCTGATGTCAGATGGATCTTTCTTGAAAGCAGAGAATACTAGAAGAATGTTTGTTTGTATTTTTTTAATTGTGTAAAATCTTTACTTTGAATTATTCATAATTCTCCTGACTTAGGATATCTGGTGAAGTAGTAAGGAGTTACAATGCTAATCCAAAAGATTCACCTCTCAGAAATTTTAAAATACTAGTGGTTCAATGAGAAAAGATGTATGATCTCCTTCCATGTGATTTACAGCCTCAGAAATACTCTACAATGTTAGCTATTAGTTTTTCTGACTCATTGGCAATGAAAGAGAGAAAGAGATCTACAGAATTAAAAATTGATAATATTTTGTTCCTTAACGGTACTCTGTCCCCCAACTAACGCAATATTAAATTTATTGTAATTGTAGACTGAAGACATTTCCATTGATGAGAATCAGATTTCCAGAACATTTAACTGTACTTGTACAAAACCTATACCTAAACCATAAAGCTGTAGTTCAAACAGAATAAGGGCTCACTGTCTTTAACATCAAGAGAGGCTTACATTAAGGCTGTATTCTCTTTCCATGTCTTTTCAAATTGTCTGATTCTCAATTCATTTGAGAAGCTTCACTTGATAAAGAAGGATGTGATATCAGGATTGGAGGAAGACTCAACGACAATTGGTGATAAAAGGTGATACTTGTGAGGGCTCAACAACATTATGAGCATGACACAACCTTGCTTGCTGAAAATGAAGAGGGTTTTAGAACTTGTTGCAGAAGATAAAAGACTACATTCTGCAATATGGATTACATCTCAACATTAAGAAACAAAGATCCTCCCCACTGGACCAATAGGTAGCATAACAATAGATGGAGAAAAGATTGAA